TGCTCTTTCTACAGCACTCCTGTAGCATGTTTCATGGTCAGTGTAGCATCCATCCTCTCTGATTATGATTGTATGCCTTAATTTCTTAAACCAGAATCAGGGGTGGATCCAGAGATATCCTGAAAGATGGGGCGACGATCGAGAGGAAACACACCCTATTTTTGTTTTCTAGACGCCCGGAAGTAACCTCTGAGGCGTTTTGGGCGATCAATAACTTCTTTTTGTTTTCTTTTATTTACATTCTAAAAGATGGTGGGGGGGGGGTAGCCCACCCCTAAATCCTCCCCTGAGAATTGTTATTTTTATTCTTGTACATTACAGAACAATGTATTGATGACTTCATCGGAAAACCGTTTGGTAAATTTAACTGTATAGACGGTATGTGCATTCCGGATTATGAAGAATGTGATGGACGTCGCCAATGCGTTGATAATAGCGACGAAGCTAGGTGCATCTTTTAAGCAAGCAACAAAGAGGCGCGCAAGAATAATGGGCAATTTGCCAGAAAAATGTTTCCGAAGCCGTTTGTTGGAAGGGAGAGGGTCACCCCGTCCGTTGCCATGCTCCCCATAATTTCTTTCTCTTTAGACTGCCGGAAACGAGCTATCTGCCACTTACGCAAACAAACATCTCTTACAATCTTGATTGAAAACAAATTAAATCTATAAATGCAATCTGGTCTATAAACGAAATAATAAAGCGGTTAGTTAATATTTAGCCCTTAAGCCGGGAACTCACTGCGTCGTACGGCAGGCTGCCGACAAATCCTACTCCGCGCTCTCTGTGGGTTAGATGACGCGACGCTGTCTGCTGATCGTCGGATCGTCATTTAAAAACGATCGTCGTGGCGTTGTATTCTCTATAAAATCGCGTCGGCCGACGACTGTCTCGTGTGTAGTGAGTTTCCGGCATCATTAAAAAAATTTAATACATTCTTCTATCAGTTAAACATTTTTTAGGTGCATGTTAGGTGCATGTTGTATTTTTGAAAAACGTAAAGGGTTTTTATTTAATCTTAATTAGCTCTACAGTATTATATATTTTGCTGTTTACACTCTGTACTTTTTAATTGTTGTATTGTATTTTGTCTCTCATAAGCAAGGCATGGCTGGCCTTTGAGGGTGTGACATGAATAAATAAATACTTTACTTACTTACTTAATGTATTCATTTATATTTATGTTACTATTTTAATTGTTTCTTAAATTTGGTGACCCACTCGACAGAGATCTAGTATCTCTTTTTGGGAAGCCAGCCTCCATTTTGTCTGTCCTTTTTCATGAGGCGAATAAATAAAATATACATTTGTTTTCTTGATTGGACCTTAATTATACTACAGTCTTTTATTTTTATCCTATTATTGTAAATTTCTATAAAACCGTGGTTCAAATAAACTGTGTAATTTGCACAACGAAACTAGAAACTAAAAATCTCAGACAGGCCTACTGTAAATCTAGCAAATGTGTTTATTACTTCAATAACATAGCCAAAATAGAGGCATTGAAGGGAGAGAGAGGAGTTGAGTCCTTGTCAACAGTTTTGCAGTGAAAAAAGAGCTACAATTGGATAACGGTCAATAGGTCAATATGTGTAATAATATTTTTATTTTATTTCAAAAGGCACACTATAGTTACAAAAACCTGCAATTTTCAGAATGGATACTCGTAAAATAAACAAATAAAATATAAACTATAAATATAAAAACATGAAAATCATAAAGAATGTATAAACATATAGCACAGAAACAGTAGACAATAAAAATGTACACCAGATACCATATCAAAACAGGTGCAGCTGAATAATAGGTTAATATTTTACATACAATGCGCATTATTAATATTATAATGAGTTATATATATTAATAAAGGCAGAAAAAACTAAGAATGTCAAGCGGAAAGTCATTATTGACAGAGTTTATCTCTGCTAAAAAGCAAAGTATATTAGATTTGTAAAAACAATTTAACTATAATAGAATGGAAACACTTAAATGTAAAATTTATACATTAAGACATACGGTATCAAATTAACATTAGAAGAGAAGCGACAACAAAATCCACAAGAGTCCCTAATTACACTACCACGTTTTGGATAGAGATAGAATTTATAACAAGTCAGTATTCGAGATGATATCTTAACAATTTTCAGTGCAAATCACCTATATTTTTCAAATATATACAATTATACAAAATACAGAAACATTCGATTCGGGATTTGGTTAGTTTGAAAGGAAACTCCTAAAAAAAATAAAGAATAATATAATCACCGAGGCCATCGCGCTTTCCTATTCGCATGTAAACAACAGGTTACTTTTTGGTATTCATTTCTGGGAACTACTGATTTTGAATAACTATTCTTAGTAAAGTTTCCCCGGATTCAAAGGATCAAATATTTGGAAATTATGGACAATACGTTCTTTTTTAGTCATCAAAATCTGATGACTACTAATACGAATACTATTTATTATTAGGTGTTCCGGTTCAAAGACACAATTTATCCATGCTAAGTTTAACTGTTGAAACTGTACAGTATTATGGACAAATAATAAGCGCCTTTCATTGGCAGAGGCTCTCGTCAAACATTGTTACATTAGTTTTAGGGTGCACTCGATCAAATGTATAAATGAATACCAGCATTAATTATTATAAAAACACTGCTGAGTTTCAAATTCAGTGTCATGGGTACCTTCACATGCGGAGGCGGAATCAATCGTTGTATCAACACCTACATCCTCCCTCATCATTGCCTGGTAAAGAAAAAAAAGTAACTACACATGATTGAAAGAATTTGATCTAGGCATATTTATCAAATGTGAGGATTTACAAAAAATACATTTTTTTATGTAATGGTTTTTTAAAAAATTTTATTTATTTTAAAAAAAATCAAATTCATATATAGGCCTTTTGTCAGCAGACAGCTCTACAGTATGGGTACCCTTACAAAAAAGATAACGAATACGAATACGTCATATCATTATCGTCATTCATGCCTAAAACATTATTGACAATATACTGTACGAGCTGAATATGATTCTTGATTCATGCAAAAGACATGAATCGCTTTCGTTGTGACAGATACGCTACTACTGCAGGGGAAGGGTTGTCTTAAAAAAATAATGACGTATAAACCATATTCGTTATCGTTTTTGTAACCTTGCGAAAACTCCTTATTTATAACCTACCTTTTCTCGCGCCCAAATAAAGCCCCTAGTCCTAGCCCAATGGTAGTAGGCACTGCAATTGCCTTGTGTAGGTGACGCAGATGATAGTGTCTCCTCTAAATCGGCAATGTATTCAATAGCACAACGTAAAGCTTGGATTTTAGAGATCCTTTTGCCGGGTGGTTGTAAACGGTGATTGAGTTTGTTCCTTAACATGTCGAAGGCGTCGTTCATATCTCGCATTCGCGAACGTTCTCGATTACTTGCTGATTTTCTTTGCAGGATTTCTCGATTGTTCTCCGCAACTGTTTCTTTAAGACTCGGGCGGTACGTGTATTCGTAGGTTTTGTCGCGTTTTTTGGTAGTGTGATCGACTGCATCACCCACAGGCCCTTTCACCTGAATACAAGATAACGTATTGTATTTTACATCTAAAGTTTTCTAACAGTTATCAAACCAAAGAAATATATTGGCATAAGATGATAATAATGATAATAGTAATAAGGACGATGATGATGATAGCGATAATACTATCATAATGATGATTATAAAATATAATAATAATAATAATAATTATTATTATTATATTATAAAATAATAATAATAATAATAATAATAATAATAATAATGATAATAATAATAATAATAATAATAATAATAATAATAATGATAATAATGATAATAATAATGCACAAGACAGCTGGTAGTGGTGGGGACATACAACAGCATAAACAATTAAAACAAAAAATGTACTGTAAAGGCAAAAAAAATAATATGTAAGTCATAAACTAAAATGTTTAAAAACAAAGTATAAAAACACAACCTACCTCTCTTTGAACCATTGTAAACCATTCAATTCCTTTTAACTGTTTCACGTAAATTAAACTTCCTGACTGCTCAACGGAACAAACCTTTTGATATTAAATCGTTATGGGAACTCGTTTGATGATAATCTAAACAATGCTAGCAAACTTTCAAGGAGGTACCTTCCTGCTTTTGTATAAAACAAGAGCAGTATTTCATTAACGAATGCTCTCAAGAAATACACCTCTAAAATATCTCTTGGCTAAGAATTTAATCAGGGAGTAATTACGTGTTGCTTCGCTGCCTTAATTGATACGACGACAAGGTCTCGTACTTAGACAGTAGCCATACCACCCAAAAGTTTTAAACAATACACCCTCAGCGTTACGTGGCAGAAAAAGTCGAAAAATAATCAGCCACTTTAATATACTGTATGTTTTATCAACCAAAAATTGTTGTGAAGAATTAAAGTCAAAAGACTAAGCGGAAATTGTTAGATAGTGTCGGTGCATGCAGATTACTTCATAATGCTACTTAGCCGATTGTAAGTAGATTTGGATACGTTGCTGTAAACAACCAATAAACGATTTTATTAATTAGCTTAATAAACGTTAATAACAATGTCTTGCCTTTGAAATTCTAATCGCTTGATTTAAATGCGTACATTGTGTTGCAAATGGGAAAGAGTGAGACACCGGTGTAGAAAGAGCAATAGATTCCAGGATAATAATAATAATTATTTATTTATTAATTATTATTATTATTATTATTTTATTATTATTATTTATTTTATTAATATTATATTATCATTATCATTATTACTATTACTATTATCATTAAAATATTTTCTGATTATTTAAATACGGAAACTTGAAGATATGATAATATAACCTTGATATGAAGAAACTGGTGATAATTAAAGATTTTTTTAGAAACATGCTCTTATCGAATGAAAAAACACACATTAAGATTTAACAAAAATAGAAAAAAAGAAACCCATCCACAAACTGAAGCTTTACAAACGTACTGCCTCAACATTGTTGTTTTAATATTTAAATTGGAATAGAGTAATACTTATAGTCCATAATTTAAAGATATATTTACTATAATTGTGCTAAAACAACTGAAACATAATGTTAATAATTGTGTGTATTTATGTAGGTCTAATTATGCTTTTAAATTAAAAACCTCTATCAGGTTTTGTCGGACTCAGACTTGTCAACGACTCTTCTTTCACAACAGTAAGAGTATTTCTCATAGTTTTTCATGTCATCACCGTCAATGAATGTAACTAAATCTCTAACACTTCAGGAAAACCAATGCATGTTAATGAAGATGCGGTTATCTTTCCACCCGGGGCTAGGAGGTCCGGAATGCCGTGTCCAGTGTACTGGAAATCCGGCGTCGGTCTGGTTTATTACGTCAAGATGACAATCGATAGGGCTTAGGCCCGTCAATCCGTCATCTGAATGCAAACACAATACGAAAAAAAACAAAACAAAACAAAACAAAAAAATAACAGCACTTTTATATCCTGTAATGTATTTAAGCAATGATTTATTACCATCGAAATATGACATTATAGATATAATAATAATAATAATAATAATTATAATAATAATAATAATAATAATAATAATAATAATAATAATAATAAACAAGCATTTTTAAAGCGCTCTATACAATGAAGTCTAATAATCCAACTAATTTCATATTAAGTTTTATACTCCACTACTACTAGGCCTATCTATCAATATATATATATTTTTCTATTAAAATTCAATATCATTTGTATCCATTGGCAAATGTGGGTGCTAAATAGAACTTAGGGCATTATATCCACTGAACTCATTGGTGGAACCAGGAATTCAAAATAGAGGAGCCCGGGGAGGTGCTTTCACAGATGGAGGATCTATACCAAGAAAATTTGTGATTATGGCACCTGATGGCCGAAAATTGCACTCCCAGACTTAAAATTTGATTAAAATTTTCTTTATATCTCCATTAAAAAAAAAAACAAGGTAGGGGGAGGGGTGGCTCTCCCCCTCCCTTTAATCCGCTACTGGAACTGAGCAAAGCCAAGGATGGAGCATTTCGATACTACACTACCTGACAAAACTATAAAATCGGTTGTTATCGTCTAAAGCAGCCCTTACTTTGATATTTACTTAATATGCTATTTTCATGTTTAAACAAGAAGGGGGTGTTCAGTCACCTTTGGCAACCACATGATTAAGCCACTGGTTCTCTTAGGTTTTCTTTCTTTATTTAACTTCTGTCTTGGAGATAACAGGTACACAAATGAATAGAACATTGACTGACAAAATTATGGTAAAATGTAAGTGTATAGAACTGTTTCTAATAAAACAATGGTAAATAATCAAGATATTTCTTATTGGTGATATCGGATTAAAAACAATTTTTAATTAATGACGTCACTGTAATGTTGTTTTTAAGTTTTCGTAAAAAAAGTACACTATGATACCGCTAAACAGTTTTCTCTGCATTCGCTACACTACCGAAGATGTCCCCAGCAAAATAGGGTAGGCTCCATTAAGATTCACCGACCAATCAGCGTCACCGACAACTGTATGTGATAGGACGTAGCGATTTCATGGAATCAAAGCTTTACAATTGATATTTTATATTTTCCATCTGTTATTAACCATGTAGGAGCCATGCAATGAGATAATAATACACAATACACAATGTACAATAATTTATACACTTGCACTCGTAGGCCTACCTAACGGTGCATCCGAAGGGGGTGGGGAGGGGGGAAACAATAACAAATGAAATCAAATAACTTATAAATTACATCACACGATACCTTAATTAACCTTCTTCAGCCCTACTCCTACTGAAAATTCACAATATCCAATATATACCAATTGAGTTAAACCATGGAGAGAGTAATAAATCGATAGCATCATGCAAAAAGGCTATAACACTAGACACATAATTATTGTTATAGTAACTGGCTCTTCGGTTGGCCATTGGTCAAATTGTATGTAGTTGACTAAGCTTGAATTTAATTGGATTGAACTTATTTGCAACCTGTTTCATCACTCTGATCCATACAGTTGGATGTCCCGTCGCACTTTTGGTATTCTGGAATACACATTTTATCATTGCACTGGAAGCTACCGAAAGGTTTGCCAGCGAAATCATTGATGCAGTTTGCTAGAACAAAACAGGGAAAAACAGACATTGAGATTAAAAATGTCCCTCAATAAACGAAATACACCACATCAGTAAACAAAGTATAGTGTACAACAAGAAACCGCCTGAAAAGAGGAAATGCCAACCTATCTCTCCTCTATTCCAAAATATGATAATTAATAATAATGAGGATGTTGCCATCTAGCTTTTTGCAACTGGCCAGATGGCAATGGGACCAATGCCGTAGCCAGGATTTTCAAACAGTGTGGGACAATATCAAGGTGGACCCACTTTACGCGTAAATTCAAATAATGTGGAAACATTTTCTTAAAAGTTGACCCATCTTAAGCTAAATATGAGAAATATGAACTCGTTTTTCAAAATGTGGACTCATTTATGCATAATTTGGACCCATTTTTAAAAAAATGCGGACCTATTTTTTATGGACCCATTAGAAAAATTGTGTGAGACTGTCCAAACTGTCCCAATACTGGCTACGGCATTGAATGGGGCTCGGTCCAGTCTATTTCAGCTCAGATGCACAATGCTTCCAAATTACCTGCATGTTCCTTTTCACAATGATCTTCGTCACTGAAGTCGTCACAATCTATTACGGAATCGCATTCGTACCATTTGAGTACACACTGTCGGTCAGGGGCTGTGACTTTCGCACACCGAAACTGAGATTGCTTGAACTTCTCATGGCAAATATCTGAAGTATAACAGTATCCACAAATAAAGTAAATTTTAAAATTGCGAAGTCTAAAGTGACTACCTTAAAAACACACAAAAACCACCGACAACTGATTAAGTATCGGTACAATGTTACTAACAATTATAAATAATAATTATTACCATTAGTGAAATAATAATAATAATAATAATAATAATAATAATAATAATAATAATAACAATAATAATAATAATAATAATAATAATAATAATAATAATAATAACAACAACAACAACAACAATAATTCCCTCTATCCCAGAGGAGCCAATAATTCTATAGTGCCTGCTCACGGGTAACATGTATTAATTATTATTATAACAGAGCAGACGGATCCAGAAATTCGTTAGTGGTGGTGTGAGAGGGTGAATGAGAAATGCCTGGGGCCTCTCACAACGGAATCCATGGTAATAACAGTCCTAGTTGGGTACATGGATGGCAAAGCCCTTGCAAAGTGTATATTATTTAATTGTCTAGTTTTCGTTGTTTATGTGTTTGTCAATTGTTTTTTTAAATATAATCAATGAAGGAAATAAATGAAATGAAAACGTATGTGTGTTTCACCAACGAAATATTTTAATCTATAGGCCTACACTTTGTATTAGCAAAAACCCACGAATGACATGCAGTATAGAAAAATTCCTTTGAATATTATGATGAAGGGACATTGATTGGTTTAATATACTTACAATTATGAACATTAACATCAGGTTTGGTTGAAACTAAAATTAAAAATGACTAACGCTCGGTTTCCATAGAATTGCTCACCCTATCGGCGACAGTCGCCGACAGCTGTCGGGAAGGTTGAACCTGGTTCAACTTTGTCGATTGTTACATGCAGCATACATGTTGTTACATGCATGTCACACATGTTGCTACCCACATTTTGTAACATACATGGTGTTACACACAGGTTGTTACATACATACATACATGTTGTTATATACGTGTTGTCACACATGTTGTTACACATATGTTGTAACACACATGTTGTGATATCCTAGTAGAACACATTAAGCACCTGATTGAGAATATATTATACATGCATTAACGTTTGAAATAAATACCGTAGGAATTACATTTGAATCCCTATTAAGAAGACACAACGGGGAACAAAAAGGCTGTCTCTTATACACATCGTCCTACTGCTGCTTTCAGGTTTCAAGACCAAAAAGCCTTCAAAAGTGCTTCAAAATTCAATTATGTTAAATTCTTATACTTTATTCGGGTCAGGAGCTCGTTCGCTTATTATGGTAAAGAGTGAATGCCGTTGTTACAGATTTTTTGGCGTACCCCAGTATAATGTACCGTACCGTAAGTCTTATATAGCGACGAATTATTTCAATTCATAAGCCTACGTTTTCTATTAGCATTATGGAAAAATAATCTACGAATGACATACAAACTCCAATAAACTGGATTCTGTATTGATTGGTTTAATTAACTTATAATTAATTATGAACATTAATATTGGCATAGGGCTATTAACATAATTATTGCTCAATATAGATTTAAAAAGAAAAACACATGTTTCAATAAAATAAATATTATGTTTGGTTAAGGACAATATTAAAAATGACTAAAAATAGGCCTACAGCTGTTTTATGGTTTCAAGTCACGTCGACAAAATCCCGAGTGCTTCAAAATTCAATGATATTCAGTTTTTATATTCGGGTCAGGAACGTTTTGTTATGGTAGATAATGAATGCCTATGTTAGAAAAATGTTTAGTTTTACCCCAGTAACAACGATGACGACGGCGACAACGACGACAACAACAACAATAACAACAATAATAAACAATAACAACAACAACAATAATAATAATAATAATAATAATAATAATAATAATAATAATAATAATAATAATAAGTCCTAAATAGCGCAAAGTTGCCCCTCACATTACATAAACAAATAAAAAGACATAACCATGAGCGGCAAAAAACGGAAGAATAATTTTCACTGCTCCGGTCTCCAGCACTTTAAAGCCAAAATGTTGGGCTCGCTTGAACAGTAGCTCTAGCTAGCCTATCCTACAATAATAAAGGAAGGTCTCTGTATATCTGATGAAAAACATGAATGAGCGGTTGCTAGTCAGTGTTAAATTCGGAATAAGTTTATTTTCTGCCTAGGCAGCAATAACGTCGACCTCTTTAAGTTTGAATACCTAGAGAAAACCCGAAATCGGGTTCTGGGGAACACATCTATGCCCGGGGGACGGGCCGGCCAAATGTTTTGCAATTTTAATGATTTTTTCTTCTGATAATTTACAAATTTATATAACCACATATCACGTATGGATCAGAAATTCGAAAGAGAGCACTTATTACTTAAAAAATGCAGTATGGTTACTGTGAGTAGGTCTACCATTGTGGAACCCTCATACTAAGGTAAAAGTAAAACGAAATCACTAGATGTTAGAATGTATAATGATATGGTTAATTACTATTTCTTCGGTACCAATTATATTTTTTAAAAATCGAAATAGCATCCTACAAAATACTCTAGACAAATCAAAATAATATCTTACCTGCTTGGATAGTTAAAAACCATGCAAGTGCAAATGTGAGGGCTAGAATCAAACGACACATACTGAGACAGTGTGAGCAAGCTGCTGGTGGAAGACTTCGTTTGCTTTGGTTGAAACAGGCAATTCTAAAAATATCGTTCTGATGTTCGGAAATAAATAGCTTAGAAAAATCATGATGCGTAGGACGAATGACACAGTGTAAACAAAAACACTTGTTTGGCCTGTGTGGCGTTTTCTGTAAATATGTATAGCCTACAAGGACGGTGGTAATTATCACCATCATTCTAGGTAATAATTCGGTAAATGGGTTAGCTGGTATTAATGGTTTAGAAAGCCTACCGTAAAACCTCGATTAGAAGCCCTGGGCTTCTTTTCGAGTCTACTTTTGTAAAATAAAGAGAAAGAGTGAGAGAGAAAGTTGGGGTGGGGGATGGGGCTTCTCTTTATGAAAGCTGGAAATTTTGGGTATTACGTACTATGAAACAATCATAACCACTGTAACATCGGTCTGTATCGCGTCGTGGAGTGTATTAACCGGCATTAAATCACTTAAATTACTGTATAAACCAAACGTGCTTTTAATTTGGTTGGTTTCTTTGAAATTTATGTATACAGTGAATTATTTATTATTAATTTCATGTACCATGTTATCTTGAAACGAGATAGGCTTCTTTTCGAGGCTAATTTTTCAAACTAAAGAGGGCTTTCAAATCGAGATGGGCTTATTCTCGGGATTACGCCCATCCGGTTTCTATTCGAGGCTTTACGGTAGGCATACTCTAGTCCCACCTATGCCATAAATAAAAACAAACCAAAATCAGGGGTTGATTTATAGTTTCTTTATTAATATGTACTGTAAACGATGTACTGTATTACATAATTTATTAAACATTAGGGAACTTTCGATTTGTGAGACGCGACGCAAGAACGGAATCACTCATGCGTGACCGTCCTACCTGGCCACTGTAACATCGGTCTGTATCGCGTCGTGGAGTGTATTAACCGGCATTAAATCACTTAAATTACTGTATAAACCAAACGTGCTTTTAATTTGGTTGGTTTCTTTGAAATTTATGTATACAGTGAATTATTTATTATTAATTTCATGTACCATGTTATCTTGAAACGAGATAGGCTTCTTTTCGAGGCTAATTTTTAAAACTAAATAGGGCTTTCAAATCGAGATGGGCTTATTCTCGGGATTACGCCCATCCGGTTTCTATTCGAGGCTTTACGGTAGGCATGCTCTAGTCCCACCTATGCCATAAATAAAAACAAACCAAAATCAGGGGTTGATTTATAGTTTCTTTATTAATATGTACTGTAAACGATGTACTGTATTACATAATTTATTAAACATTAGGGAACTTTCGATATGTGAGACGCGACGCAAGAACGGAATCACTCATGCGTGACCGTCCTACCTGGCGTCCTACGTTCTCTGCATACGTAGATTTGGCCAAATTGCGTTTCAGAACCTACTCGACGAGGTGACCTTACCGTTATGCGCAGATGACTTTTACTGGCGTCATTACGTTCTACGTCCTACCGTCGTCGTGCAATCGAAAGCTCTCTATTATATCTTAATTCAACGGGTAACTGGAACGGTACGGTAACTAACAGAATGTACCATTCTGGAAATGCCTCTGGTTAACTAAAACACAATCGGAAAATTGTTTATTTTCATTTATGGAATGATCTTCACAACAGAGTATTTTCCATCGAACATGACTAGAGCTGTGTTGTCATACGGAACAATACGATCTTTACCACTTACGTTTCTTCACACTCCGCCTCTCCCATTCCCTGGTACCACACACTATGGTACAAACGTGATACAAACGGTTACACCCAAGTTTCACACCAAGACAGTGCAATTGGCTATTTAATTGGTTTGACCACAGACCGATTATTTAGCGGTAGAGATGTCTTTCATTTTACCTTAATAAACAATGCAAAATTATATACTTTATCTTATATCAATAATTCAAACCTAACACGTTGTAATTACTCCTAGATACTACAACAGACTCTTTATCACCTCGAAGAGACATTTTAAAATAGCGAGCTTTGCTACTCAAAACTACTATACAACATACATGTTGCGACACAAATGTTGCTACACAAGTTACATACATGTTGTAACATACATGTTGTTAACAATATGTTACATGCAGCATACATGTTGTTACACACACCTTGTTACACACATGTTGTTACATGCATGTCACACATGTTGCTACCCACATTTTGTTACATACATGGTGTTACACACATGTTGTTACATACATGTTATTACATACATGTTGTTATATACATGTTGTCACACATGTTGTTACACATATGTTGTAACACACATGTTGTGATATCCTAGTAGAACACATTTAGCACCTGCTTGAGAATATATTATACATGCATTAACGTTTGAAATAAATACCGTAGGAATTACATTTGAATCCCTATTAAGAAGACACAACGGGGAACAAAAAGGTGTCCCCTTATAGCAGTGTCCTCTGAATAGGGGTTAGTTGCAGTGTTATATATATTATAAGATATATTTTCACTTGATTCGCGGCCAAAAAAATGTCCCCTTAATGGACACATCAAAGCAGTAGTTTGCCTTTATTACCAGATTAATCAAGAGTAATAATAATTGTTGTACTTAGATATTCAGCAAATAAGCAAAGAAATGATCAGCCTAGAACAACATTGTAATTGTTTCTGCCGCTTGCATTTTATGTACAGTATAGGGGTGGGGTTCTTATGAGAACCAGACATCGCGGGGTACCTAGGTGTGCAGGAAAAAGCTTTCATGTGGGTTGTAGCAGAAGCATTCTAGTAAAAATTGGTTTTTGCAAGGCGTGATTTTGGTATATCAGAAGGGGAAACTTGCCTTGTTACAGGCCTGCTGTGTACCAATACATTTAAACAGTCCTTTACGATGATTATGATCGTCATAATTAGCATAAAATACGAGCTCAAGAACTTTAACATGAAAGACCTCAGCAAAATATTTCACATCACCAATACATTCTTTATAACCTGTACATTTAAAACAAATTACCCTAAATTCCTTTAATGGAAATAAAGTGCATGGTGGTGGAGGGGGATGGGGGAGAGGATAGACTATGATGAACTTGGCAAAAAATATTTGAACACATAGAAGCAGATGGGTGTACAAATAATAATAATAATAATAATAATAATAATAATAACAACAACAACGTGAAACTGTATACAGCTAAATATTTTGACAGCTATTATATTAGATTTATGAAACTGAAACAACAGGTCTTAATAAGCACTACAGTAGTAATATTCTCCATTAGACGAAACGAACAAACTACTATACTCTAATCGTTAATCTAGTAACGCTTCAATTAACATTCAACCAATCAATTACAGTACAATGTTTCATTCGATCAATGAACAGTATTCTAATTTTCAACTGTTCAAAGAACAGTACTACTAATTTTAAATTGACCAAAAAACAGCGATGCAAGCGTTCATTCAACAAAATTAGCAGCAACACAACTGTTTATTTGACCAATGAAGACGGCTGTGTTTCCAATCAATCAATTCACAGATTAGGATAATTAATACATTAAAAACTCCTTTTGACCATTAACTGCCATGGCACTATTCACTTGATATTCGACCATGGTTATTATTATTTCTATTTAATTTGACATCTAACCACTTCTACTACAGATTAAAAACCTATTTACATTACAACAAAAATATATATTTTTTTTCTCTGAAGTATACTTTCAATTATATTTCCTTATGATTATTGCACTAAATACTTGTTTCTACAAGTCTTCCCTTGATTATATACCGTATTCGTGCGTGGCACTCTTTACAGGACAGACAAAAACAACCTGTATATTATACAAATCTACAGCATTTTGGTTTTGTTTTTGGTAAAACAGAAGCAACACATTAAAAAATATCTTTTGAATATAAATTTTTATAGGACAAAAAACGTAGATGATTCTCTGAATAGGTCGCCATGTATGGTACGGATCCACAGAACATTTAGTCAATCTATCACACACTATGTTATATACAAGGCTGCCTTGTAATTTCATGTATTCACACTATATTATATACAAGGCTGCCTTGTAATTTCATGTATTTAAAGTTTATTTATGACAATGAAAATTGGGAAATTATAATAAAGTACATGATACTGTAAGAATATTTCGCAAACATTCTTTGAAAGTTTATTTTAGATATCATGTTTTGGAACCATAAAATAACTGAATTTCAATGGAAGATTGTTTTTTTTAAAAATATAATTTTGATTACATAATGACGAACAGGGTAGCAAACAACTACTGCATCTTAATGGACCTTCAAGGTGTGTCAATCAAACTTGACAACTGACCAATCAGAACATCGCTAAGATTACGTGCTTATTTCACCAAAACAAACCTTAGCAACAATATCCAAGGAGGCTGGGGTTACTGGAAAGATTCAATTCTACATTGCAGTTCACTCGTGATTACCATGAAAACAAAGTGTATGGAACTACAAGCGGTCCGACTCTCGTGGTTTCGTTGAAACGTAATCCTATTAAAAAAAATACTGCCACGAAGAGGCGTGTCCTAAAATAAGACGATTTTCGCGCAAACTCTATTCAAATTCTAATAGGGCGCCCCCTATCTCGTGGCAGTAATATTTTAACGTTTCATTGCGTGCATACAAAATCAGGGCAGTCGGACCTCTTACAATTCTATACCCTCTGATCAAATCATACCTTGGCAAGTTGTGATCAATAGACTGAACATTGCAACACTTCTCACAACTTGTGAGGGCGTGATCAATGTTCACATGTGCACTTAAAAGCAGCATTACCTTTTAAACAGAGAAAAACCATTATATATCTGTTGTGGTGTAAAAACAATTGCATGCAGATGGCATTTGTACAATTTTTTATGCTATAATATAAATAATTGTGCGATCACCAAAACTTACTTTATTAAAATGTGTTGTGTATTTACGATTTATTGAGGTAACTGAAGTTGACAAGTTAGAGTGGTAGGTTGCTAAGCAACAATGATTGAATACCTTAATTACCATACAACTTTGAATGACAAGCTGACATCAAGAGTCTAAATTAATGCCTGTGGAAAATGTAAACATTCTAAATTTTTCCTGATTGGTTGGTTGAAAGGAGTATATGCATGTCCATGTAGCAGCATATAAACTCTGATCAGTGGTTAAAAACATATTCACACTGATAAATCTAGTTAGAAATCCATTGATAAGCTCATTTAAAAGGATTAAATAAACTAATCAATTTTAATAATACAGTAGAACCCCTATTAAGACCCCCTTAAAAGGTGACACCATCGGGACAAAAAAGTGTCCCCTAATTAGAGATGTTCCCTGAATAGGGGTTTGGCATAGTGTTAAAAGATATACTTTCCCTCGTTCTGTGGCCAAAAGTGTCCCCCACTTATAGGGGTGTCCCCTTAATATGGTTGTCCCTTAATATGGAGTGTCCCCTTAATAAGGAGTTGTTCTACTGTACCTTTGAATAAAAACATGGAGGTTAATGTTGTAACAAATTGCGTAGCTCACTAACGACGTGACCACAACATTACTCTGTACCTGTTGATAACATGGCAAGTCATTGCAATATTTGATCAGACTCAATGAATTTTCTGTAGATTCAAATTTTAGTGGAGTTATTCAATTTCTGTCAGTGTTGCAGGATTTTTTCTCACAACCAAAACAACTTCACTCCTAAAACCTCATATTGAGATTTAGTTTGTGTAAAGCATCGTGTGTGTATGTTTGTCTTGTGTAAGGGATTGTCACCTGCAAGTAGGAGTGATATTCGCTTTTTGACAATCCTTGGCGCATGTGCTGTGCACCTAAATAAATAATAATAATAATAATAATAATAATAATAAAAACTACACTATATCATTATAATATTAATAATGATAACAAAAACAACATTAACAAAGAATAGAGAATCATAATTGTGCCAAGTCCCTACTCACTTTTGAAACACAGTAAATATTGTGCAATTGTTTTCTTGGGAATAATGTCTAGTAATGTAATGGCTACACACTGATGGCTAAGTACTTCTCAATGGTCTACATGCTGGAATCCAAACATACGCTTGTTTTTAATGATGGGGTCAAGATAGAAGCACCCACGTCGCAGCCCTGGTTAATACTAATTTTAGCACCACCACAGTGGATATGAGAAGAAGAAGATCACTGAAGTTTGTCTAATAAAATTGGGGATAGTGTTTATTTTATACCAAATACAATAGCTACAGCCTGCCTCCACCAAGGTAGGGCAGTCTTGGATGGCCAGGACAATCTATGTATATGGTATACAAAATAATTTTTTGCTCGGATGAGGAGCTCTAGAAACACTTGGATGATTGATTAATAGATCCTTTTTAGCTCTACTGCCTCTATTAAACTGCCCTCATGAGGCTGATTGATTAATAGATCTTTTTTAGCTCTACTGCCACTATTATACTGCCTTCATTAGGAGCTCTAGAAACACTTGGCTAATTGATTAATAATTGATTGATCAATAGATCTTTTTTAGATCTACTGCCTCTATTATATTGCTCTCATCGGAGCTTTCGAGATTATGAGAACTTGTTTTCTGAGTCAAGTTTAACACAGTAGCCACTGTGTGATCTTAAGGCTGTAATGTACTGTACCTCTTAACTTTGAGGGCATAGCACAGTATCAATATCACCATGGGCAATAATTGTAACCATGCTCCTCAAAGCAGTCAATAAATGTATACTACTTTGATTGAGCTACTAGCCCACACTTCAAGCGTCATGAGAATCTTTGTTTGGTAGATACTGGCGTGATACATATCTACACTCTTATTACAAATGCACAGGATATTGTTTGGTAATTCACAGTATGTTATTAATGCCAGTTCTTTCCTGACCTCAACCATCACTCTGCTGTTGCTTCTGTTGTTGGTTGACTAGATGGGCGGAGAGCACTTGGCTAAATTTCTTCTGGTGTACATCAATGGCAGCAATGGATTTGAATAATAGTCCTGAGGCGATGTCTTCGGGAAGTCTGGTCAAAAACTGTGCTATATGAATGAAATCCATTCCAAGTAGAACATTCTGATATAATTGCAGGATTCCTATAAACAAATTTAAACAATATATAAAAAAATAGTGTCTGTGTTGCAAGAGAATGGGGAAGAAGATAACAGAAACAAATTACATAAATACATACATAACAAAATTTTGTTTGAAGGTGAACTAATAATATATATTAATGCTCGAGTTCCACCATGTAGATAGTTCTGTAAAGAACTATCGTTGGTTGAGAATGTCTCGACGTTTCGATTGAGTTTCTATTTCATGAAGTTCAGAGCGCTTAACAAGTTGACGTGTTAAAGCGTGGACTACAGTAGCTCATACATTCCTTCTCCTGTAAGGGACTCTCGTGTCTGAGCAGGCAGGTAAACTGCTACCAGCTACTCTCATCTGTCCACAACAGGGGCTGTATGGACCAGTACACCGGGGTAACCCCTACTCGTCTCGAAAGATTACTGGGTTCTTGAGTACACATGAGTCAATTGTGTACACTGGGCCTATGGTTTATAGTCCTTATCCGAGAACACTTTTCCACCAGAACCATAGACGAGCGTGCCGTTTAAAATAGCGACGGTATTATGCCTATACGTTGAGGCATTAGTTTTGGGAACAAACAAAAACAAAATCTTTACCTAATGCTGTCCTAAAAAGGAATTCTTCTCCATCACGAAAGAACACATCCCAAACTCTACAAGCAACATCTAATGGCAGAGACTTGCTATAAATTGTATACATCCTGGATAAAAATAACAAAAAGAAAACACATAAGGAAAGAAAAGAGCTTAACAAGTAATGGTTGTATTCAATTTGTAATATTTTTATTGTCATTGTTCCCTATTTACTCTTAGGTAATGAGTCCATAATAAATATAACACATAATTAAAAAAGCAGTCATGTAGTGCAGGATGGATACTAATGTATTGTATGAATTAATAAATTATGAGCTGACCAATAAATGTTGATGAAAACTTGTAACATTATCAATCAATCAGAGATCAGGGGTGACTTATAACTTACCAAACAATAATATACAAATCAGAGTGACTTACAACTTATCAATCCATAATGTAGAAATTAGTAGTGACTTCTAACTTACCAACCAATAATACGGAAATTAGTAGTGATTTATAACTTACCAACCAATAATACAGATATGAGTAGTGACTTATAACTTATCAATCCATAATATAGAGCTTAGTAGTGACTTATAACTTACCAATTAATAATATAAAAATTAGTAGTGACTTATAACTTACCAATCCATAATATTGAAATTACTATTGACTTATAACTTACCAATCAATGATATAGAAATTAGTAGTGACTTATAACTTACCAACCAATAATATAGAAAATTACTAGTGACTTATAACTAACCAATCAATGATATAGAAATTAGTAGTGACTTATAACTTACCAACCAATAATATAGAAATTTACTAGTGACTTATAACTAACCAATCAATGATATAGAAATTAGTAGTGACTTATAACTTACCAAACAATGATTTAGAAATAATTAGTGACTTATAACTTACCAATCAATGATATAAAAATAAGGAGTGACTTTTACCAATCCATAATATAGAAATTACTAGTGACTTACAACTTACCAATCCATAATATACGGTAGAAATTAGTAGCGACTTATAACTTACCAAACAATGATATAGAAATTATTAGTAGTGACTTATAACTTACCAATCAATAATAGAGAAATTAGTAGTAGTGACTTATAACTTCAACTTTCTTTTTTCTCAAAATGTCCAAAACAAAGAGCTCAATCACCAAGCGCATAGAGGCTTTTTCGCATGATGCGCTCTACAAATCCAACTATTATTATTATTAACTTACCAATCAATAATAGAGAAATTAGTAGTGACTTATAACTTACTAAACAATAAAATTAAAATTATTAGTAATGACATATAAAGTTCTTACCAATCAATTATATAAAGATCAGGAGTGACTTCTAACTCCTCAAAATAATCATAGAGATGCGGAAGGTTGTCCTGAAAATACTCCTCAAAAGTTGCAAAGTATGCTTGCATCTGTTAGAAAAAAAAATACAATAAAAAAAATTATAATTATCTCAGACAAATTATCTTAGATACATCTAAAAAATTAGTAATTTAGAATATCAATTATGAAGCGAAGTTGTTTCTTTGTATCATGT